CCCGGGCGCTGGCCCGGGTGCTGGCCCAGGCGTTCGGCTCGAGCGCCGGCCCGGGTGCCGGAAGCGGCCCGGAAGGGGTTCCCGGGCGCCGGGAGCAGAAAATCAATATTTTCGAAAGAAAAATATGTCTTGGAGTGGCCTTTTTTCGGCACCGCCTCGGAATTCAATTTTCCGGCGCCGGCCGGCGCCGGAACCGGCCCGGGCGCTGGCCCGGGTGCTGGCCCGGGCGTTTGGCTCGAGCGCCGGCCCGGGTGCCAGAAGCGGCCCGGAAGGGGTTCCAGGGCGCCGGGAGCAGAAAATCAATATTTTCGAAAGAAAAATATGTCTTGGAGTGGCCTTTTTTCGGCACCGCCTCGGAATTCAATTTTCCGGCGCCGGCCGGCGCCGGAACCGGCCCGGGCGCTGGCCCGGGTGCCGGCCCGGGCGTTTGGCTCGAGCGCCGGCCCGGGTGCCGGAATCGGCCCGGAAGGGGTTCCAGGGCGCCGGGAGGAGAAAATCAATATTTTCGAAAGAAAAATATGTCTTGGAGTGGCCTTTTTTCGGCACCGCCTCGGAATTCAATTTTCCGGCGCCGGCCGTGCTCCTGCGCGGTCTGCCGTGCTCCTGTGGCGTCTGCCGTGCTCCTGTGTGGTCTGCCGTGCTCCTGTGGTCTGCCGTGCTCATTTGGGGTTTCCCGCGAGCTTGTGGGGTCTGCCGTGCTCCTGTGGGGGAAACGCCAGCGGCGTTCGGGGTACAACAAAAGGCGCGTTTATGTTGTACCTGCGCGCGGTCTGCCGTGCTCCTGTGGGGATTGCCGTGCTCCTGTGTGGTCTGCCGTGCTCCTGTGTGGTTTGCCGTGCTCCTGTGGTCTGCCGTGCTCCTTTGTGGTTTGCCGTGCTCCTGTGGGGTCTGCCGTGCTCCTGTGGGGTCTGCCGTGCTCCTGTGAGGTCTGCGGTGCTCTTGTGTGGTCTGCAGTGCTTCTGTGGTCTGCCGTGCTCATTTGGGATCTGCCGTGCTCGTGTGGTGTCTGCCGTGCTCCTGCGGGATCTGCTGTGCTCCTTGTGTCGTCTCTTTGGTGTGCCGTGCTCCTTTGTGGTCTGCCGTGCTCTTGTGGGGTCTGCCGTGCTCCTGTGTGGTCTGCCGTGCTCCTTTTTTTCCGCCTGCCGTGCTCCTGCTCATTTTCTGAGGACGTCCCGAGCGAAAACGTCATTTTTAACATAAGAGGTTGTAAAACACCTCTGTCG